TATCACGTATCCGGAGTGTGTAGAACGGAATCGATCTGCATTGTTCTACCGTTTGTGACATGCTTAAGGATGTAATTTATTTTCATGTAAGTAGATTATACGGTGCATTTAATTAGCATGCACATAATGTAACATTAAACAACACTTACAGATTTGCATTCAGTTGCTGCTGGTAATGGTGTATTGCTTTGGCAGATAAGAGATGTTACTTAATCGGTAGAACGTCGAACTCTGATTGCAGAGGTACCCGATTCGAGTGTCGTTTGGTTCACTGACCGCTCTTCTCTAGGAGCTTCATAAATGGGTATCCTTCCTTAGGAAGGTAGCAGGAGGCTACCACTATGTTTGTCGCATAGCTGTTGTCCACTCTGCCTTTGAAATGGGACACTCCTGACTGAAATGTCTTGGACATGGTGATCAGCGCCTTGTCATTAGCTTAATGAAAAGAAGAGTGGTGTAATTAGCATCGTTAGAGTCTAGAGAAGAGATGCTTCTCAGCCGTTTCACATTACCGTTCGGAGTAGCTATGCCAGAACATCGGGTTATGTAGAAAAAATTTTTTTCTTTGTTTCTTTAGCAAATATAAATGATGCGAAATGTGTCCATGTACTGCAGGTGCTGATCGCCATGGAATCGGAACCGAGATTTGTTTACTTGACCCTTCTGGCGTCCATCGTTAAGGGTACGTCATGTTGCCGTGTAACTTTGTGCGATCTAGTTTTAATGTCCGAATGGGCTTGTTTTTACATTTCTTGATATCATTTATATTGGAATCTTCCCCTTGCATTGTTATCGGCTTGTGCAGGCGATGCAGTAAAAAGGATTTCACCACGTTCTCGAACTGAGATATTGTAGTATGCATGAGCTGATATTGAAATGTAAATGGCATCATTGCCATTGGACACAGTCCGAGGACCAAATGACTCGTGTGAAAATGGAGCACGTGGCATTTGTGGGCTTTGAAATGATGCCCATGTAGCTTGTGCGATTAAGCGAAGAAGCGGTACCATTTGAAAAAGACCATTTCTGAGGCTGCTGCCCTCGCAGTCCAACAGAAATATCGGGTTTTGAGAATCAGTTATTTGCTGTTAATTCGGATACTTTCAAATTTTCGGTATGATTGATTGGGAAGAAAATTATGAGTTAGTTGTCCATTTTTGGGAGGCAGACGACGTGATGTGATTGGAGGCGGGTAGTTATTCGTAATCCATGGGAAAAATAAAATTCGTATGACTGTCGGATGCTACTTTTTCATGCAACTTTTAATAACAAGTAGAAATTGTTTTAATCTCAATATAGAAGATTGTATGATAGCAGCTTGCAAGGTCTTAAGCACTTCTGTTGTATCAGCAGGCATAGTCCCGATTGATAATGTCTGTATTGTGCAAGTTTCTTAGAGCATGCCATAAAATTTAGTTGTACTTAAAATTCACCCACGTATTTAAGATCATTTAATTTTTCCGTGTGGGCGAACATGCTGCGCCTAAAGTCATGCCGTCGTCTTATGGCTTCGTTGCTGTTCTGGCAGATTGTATTAACGCATCCATTTCCTTGATGATGTGTTTGCACAGCTTAATTTGTGAGTAGGTAATAACGTCACGGGGTCGCCTGTTGTTGTTTGTGTAACTTAGAGCTAGGCCTAGTTTTGGGAGTACTTGTGCCAGTAGCCGTCAACGAACGGCCTAGCAAAGTTGCTGTTATCGGACGTGAGGTGTTGAAGAGCGGAGACGCAAGCTGGGGGTCACGCACCACACATGCTCTCGTCGTTCACAGATGTTACTCGCCGTGGTCATGGTGTGATGTGGATCAACGTCTGTGACTCTATCCGATTCTGATTTGCCATCCATCTGTTCTCGTCGTAACTGGCATCAAGTGGTGTGTGGGGAACAACGTCGTCCAGCGGCTGTGCCTCCTCTTCCTCCTCGTCCACCGTCGTTGCTGCATCGACGACGACTGCTTCGATTTCGCTTCGGCTGTGGCAACGGGAGTCGACTGCTTTACGACGACGTTGCGTTAAGTTTTTCTGTTCATTGGGCGACACTTGAAGAGCTGTATACGCCATTGGAACCGGAATAGAATGTAGAGCAGAAACTTTCATCGTTCGCCGCGAGAAATTACTCACTTACAGCGAGACGTCGAAGTCGTCGCGCCCCCTGTTTGTTCTCCATGGCATCGCATGACGATCAGCAGCCATTTTCTCTATGAATGACATGCATTGATTGTTGAAGGGGCATTTTCGAATCGACTTAAAAACTGAGAAAATGGTCATGAACACTGACAATAGCTAACTGTTAAATTTTGGGTTATGACCAGCCGACGAACGATTTAAGACCGCAGCTGACTGGTAAATCGACCGTCGTTTTGTGACCCTACTTTTGTTGCACAGAATATGCTTAAATTTTTTACCTCATGAGATTTGATCCAAATGAGGAACGGAAAAGATGTGGTATGGAATATTCACTTCTTTGATGTAGAATAGTAGACGGTTAGGTCACTAGAAAGGTATGTGAAAAGTAACTACAATTTACTTTTCCTGTTACCTTCACGGAAGACATGACCGCAGCTGTAGACAACTACTCACTGTTAATTGTCTCCAAAATCTTGCCAATATCCCGACTGTCATTCGAAGCTCTGTGCAGCTTCGTTTAGAGCTTATGAAAGGCACATTAAACATCATCGAAAACGCCTTCATATCAGATACGGTATGACATCATGTACTATGAGATTACTCATAAAAGTTCTGCTTGACGATACAGACTCAATGCTGTAGTTTATTACAGCGAACTTCGTTACGGTTTTAGCCACAACATCATTCTTATATGTTTCAAGCCATTCATCGAAAGATGGACAGAATGAAAACAGTGAATAACTAATGACTAACTAACCGCCTTATCATCCGGCATCTTTGATAGCAGCTGATGAATCCTCACAAAAGGAGTCTGAAAGAAACAGCGGAAAGGTTCTGAACAAATACGGACTGAAATCGCCGCCGTTCATTACTGTTTACTGAATCCTGCGCACTGTGGTGTCCATTTTTCACATTCTCGTTAACTAAATATTCACCGAACGGTCTAATTGCTGCAGTTGTGGCGGCGATACACAGGCGGACAATAAAACGCGTTGAGACTTGCTGAAAGAGACGGTTTGCTGGCAGAAGTCAGAGTTGAGACGGGGGGTCGTGGTGAGTGTACTGACTGGAATGGAGGGTTTTACAACTTAGGGAAAAGTAGAATGTGGAACAAGAACAGGTATGCTTTTGGTTAGGGCACTAATTATTATTAGTTTAATAGCTGTCATCGACCGATTGCACATTTCACATTTCTTCTCTCGAGTAAGAAAGTGGCTGTTGTGCTGCGAGATACAGCAAGTGCGAAGTGAATTTTTTTAGTTAATGCACAGTGGCAACGAGGTTAAATGACAACCGATTAATGCATGTCTCCGAAAGGATGCAAAACATGAAAATTCATTGAACGGTAATTAAAATCCTGTATTCTTTGATTTGATTTGCTTTTATTCAAAGAATCATTCTTCACCGCCGTGAGATGGTTGAAATTTTGAAAATTTGCATATTTCCTGTTCTAACCCTCCTGTTTTATGGTGTCTAAATATCATCTGCTCGCTCCTCTCTGTTATTTATTTGAAAGTGTATCAAACGATGAATAACGAATATGTAGTCTCAGACCATGAATCTTGCCATCGGATCATGCCTTTTTTACGTTGGCATTCGTCTCCGTTTGTTTAGATTTTCATTTTCAATCCCTGATCATTGTATGAACCTCATGTTTGACCTTCAACCTTAACTTACGGCAGCCTGATCTCCGTTGCCCACCTGTTCCCTGGGCAGCTTGTCTTGAGTTGGTGCATTGTAAATCCTTCGTTTGCTCTCAGGAATGTTCGAAAGGAGCCGTGGCGAGGTGGGGTCACCGTCATGGTGCCATACAGTCGAAACATTCAATTACACTCAGTAAACCAGTTCAGCTACTTTGTGTGTTTCGCGCACTCATCGAATCAAATCGCGCGGCGAGTTAATAAAATTTAGAAGTTTTACGTCGCACAACTTTTCACAATGAAAGTTTGATTGTTTTTTTGTCATGTGTTTTTTTATCGACACCGCTTTACGACAATCTCGTCGTCGTATGCCTTGGCTTGAGGTCAGTTTTTGCCCTCTTCCCGGCTAGCTGTTGCATATAGGTCGATGATGACTGATGGATATGAACGTGTATCTATGGCTGTTCATTTCCAAATATTCTACGCTTCACTTTTGCTCCTGCGTAGCTTCGTAATCCGCTTTGTGTG